GTGCATGTTATGCTTTGCCCACTTTTCTAAAATCCACATAAGTGGTAAGTGTGCACGTTATGCTTTGCCCACTTTTCTAAAATCCACATAAGTGGTAAGTGTGCACGTTATGCTTTGCCCACTTTTCTAAAATCCTGTATGGTAAGAGCTACGCGCAGAGACTTTGTGCTCTTTTTGAGTGGTTTAAAACCCCGGTTCCGCCTTGGGCACCACTCCTCCTATGTATCCTCTGGATACCTACTTTAACAGGGTGTTGCTACTAGGGGTCTGTTGAGACAGTTCCTTCAGCACATACAAAGAGAAACGTGCGGTAGCCCCTGTGTGACAGGCCAAGACTAGTATGATTCTAGGCTCTTGGTCGTATTCCCTTAAAGGAATTTATTCCTGATTCCAAGCCTTGAGCTCTCCCCCGGGCCCAGGAGTCTGGCCCTAACAGGTAAGTATTTTGGGGTATGTAGCCTAGGCCTTTGGCCGTAGGGGATAAAGTCACGGACAGCCGTCTGACGTCCCAGGGGCAACTCACCATGAAAATGGTAAAGTTGGTACTTAGTGCTCGCCATGGTTCTGGCATGCACTCCCCTCAGCATGGTGGCGTGGGTATACCGTTCCCCATAGCGACCCCTAGAGGACGCAGTTCGAAGTTCCCTTGAAAGGGAACATCTCAAGTTACTTATATAACCATGGTTCCCTGAGTGGGGAACGAGACACTGCGTCCTCTAGGCTTCTTGCCATGCTTCGAACGCAAGCTTCAGATGAAGAAGTGAATGATGTGTGCTCCCGGCGCTTATTTATACTATAGTCGCACCGGTAGTGATGTCATGGCTGTCTCCGGCCAACGTGTTGTTGGTGTTTTTTCAATGTATGCTTCAGACACGGGTCACGACGAGGCGTTCCCCATAGCGACCCCTAGAGGACGCAGTGTCTCGTTCCCTACTCAGGGAACCATGGTTACATACGTAACCTGAGACGTTTTCATTCTCAGTCTTCACAATTATTTTATTACTTTATTAAGTCACCACACCATGTTGGTTTGTTTGGCCAGAGGAAACTCTGGCCCCCCAACTGAGTCTAGTTTCTCCCAAGGTTTTTTTCTACAGAGCTGCTTTATAATTTATGTGAATTGAAGTAATTTCATATTTGGTGATCTTTACACAGTTATTAAAATAAACTGAATCAACACTGAACTGACCTCAGCTGAACAATGAAAGTATTTTCTTTTTAGAGCTGCTTTACAGCAGAATTCATCTCTAATTGCATCACTGAATCATGACTTTCCTGTTTATTCCTGTAAAGCTGCTTTGAAACAATCTGTATTGTATAACATGCTATGTAAACACAGGTGACTAAAGGTGACACTGATTAAATGGCAAACAAATAGGTGTGGAAAGGAAAAACTGGTTTTAAGGTATTGTTGAGTGATACGTTTAGTTTCAGTCATGGTCTGCCCACATATATAAATAAAGGTGCTGATCAGATTCTGACACCTGCAGTTCAGCATCACTGTATTCTGGTAAAGCTGCTGAAGAGAGAATCTCCCTGAGTTTGCTCTGCTCTGCATTTTTCTCTGGTAAAAAAAAACAAAAAAAACTTTTCTTTTATTCAAACCATCTGCTTTTAATGTATTTTTCTAAAATAGTAATTCTCTTTGTGTAAATACACCAATGCTTGTTCCGAAGATTGTATTTACACTTTTAGCAAAAATGTGTGTGTACATTAATGTTTTAAGTTTTTTTAATAATATTTATTCTATAATATGTTTGCTTCTTAATTTACTTCTTATCTTTTATCGTAAAGTGTATTTACAATGTCTATACATGTGTGTGTGTGTGTGTGTGTGTGTGTGTGCGTATGTGTGTACTTATAAATGTGCAGGTGCAGGAGGGGCAGTTTCTCATAATGAGGTTTTTAATCTCATTGTGCGTGTCTCTACTGCTGCTCATTAATGGTGAGGGGTTTATAGCTCTAGCAATACAGAATTGTGACCAAGAATCTGACATTAGAATGAAACATTTAAATAAGTAAACTAACTATGCTTTCCAGTTATTAAAGCATAATGTGTATATTCTGTATTTGACAGCTGAAATAATCAATGGACAAACACCAGGTAAGTTTTCCACTATATCATTAATTATTATAATCTATTATCTTCCTCCCGTGTTTGGCACTGCACACCTCTAGAAATTCCTAAAAACTTCTTAATCTTGTTGCTCCCAGAGTGTGTTCAGTCAATTCAAATTTCAGCATTACCACCAGATTTGCTCAGGAGGAATGATCCTGTTTTGGCCTTTTCTCAAGGCTGCGGAAGCATGTATTGGGTTTGCATTTCGTCACGCACTTCATTCCACAATGCGTTCTCTTGTCTTGTTATTTATTTATTTATTTGATTCAATAATTGATCAACAAAACATAGATTAAAATTAAGATACAAATTATACAAAACGAAATTCATTCATTCATTCGTTCAAAATAAATAAATAATAATAATAATAATAAATAAAAATACTTTCCACAAAACAAAACGTATGAAGTGGTCAAATTATGTCTGACCCACTCCATTTCTGCCATCCAATTCAGTACCACACCCTTTTTTTTCTTTCTTTCTTTCTTTTACTTGTCTTACAAATCTTTAAACAAACTAATCTTCAACAAACAAATCATTGAGAGCAACGGCCGCACAGCGTCTTTCATTCAAATCCCATTACTCACGGTGAAGCATGAAGCATATATCCGTTGAGTTTCCACAAAGTCCATGAAATGATTTGCTCCACAATCCGTCATATAAATCCAAAGTGATCCACAGAAACTCAGACAATTTTTGACTTGATGTTTTGGCCTTTTTCCCAAAGGGTGGGTTTGCATTTCATCAAGCACTTTATTCCACAATGCGTTCTTGTCTTGTTATTTATTTATTTGATTCAATTATTGATCAACAAATCATCGATTAAAATTAAGATACAAATTATACAAAACGAAATTCATTAAAAAAGTACTTTCCACAAAACAAAACGTATGAAATGGTCAAAAATTATGTCTGCCGTCCAATTCATTACCATGCCCTTTATGACGTTTACGGAAGTTTTTTTTTTTTTTTCATAATTAACAGATTAAACAAAACAAACAAATAATATTTAAACATAAATATAAAACAAACATTTATTTTCTAAAATGGCTACAACAGATACCTTTTTTTTTTTCCACCCCGCCCCCGGAAAAAAGTTCAGGCTCAGGATTTTTTTTTGCTTTAACCCCTGTGTTCTTCATAACCTCTGCAATTCACTCTGGCATGCTGGATATTAGCTTCTGGGCCAAATCCTGACTGATGGTGATCCATTCTTGCTTTATTAGTTCTCGGAGTTGATCACAATTTGTGGGCTTCTGCTTGTCCACTCGCCTTTTGAGGACTGACCACAGGTTCTCTATGGGATTGAGATCCGGGGAGTTGCCTGGCCACGGATCCAAAATTTCAATGTAATGATCTTCGAGCCACTTCTTTATCACTCTTGCTTTGTGACATTGCCTTATTAGTTCTCGGAGTTGATCACAATTTTTGGGCTTCTGCTTGTCCACTCGCCTTTTGAGGACTGACCACAGGTTCTCTATGGGATTGAGATCCAGGGAGTTTCCTGGCCACGTATCCAAAATTTCAATGTAATGGTCTTTGATTGTGATCATTTTGGTCACTATAAATGTGATACCAATTTTTCACACCAATTCATCTCTTGTAACATTTGGACTGTATGGACGATGATAATATACTGTATATTATCGATGCCTAATTATAAATTGTTTAGTTCATTTCAAATATATATGCATTACATTCAAATTGAAATAGAATAAAGGAACAAGTATACCCTCTTTTCAAGCATTTACTCAATTTCAACATGACATACACCACTAATGAAATTGAAAAATATTGGTCAAACAAAAATTTTAAAATGTTAACTGTAATTTAAAGGGGTCATATGATGCGATTTCAATTTTTCCTTTCTCTTTGGAGTGTCACAAGCTCTTGGTGCATAAAGAAGATCTGTAAAGTTGCAAAGACTAAAGTCTCAAATCCAAAGATATTCTTTATAAAAGTTAAGAGTCAGCCACGCCTACCTAAAACGGCTCGTTCTAACACACCCCCACATACCTACGTCACGATCTGGGAAAATTTGCATAACGCCGCCCAAATGTTCACGCAAAAAAAGAAGGCGTAACTTTTATTCTCGCTGTAGTATTGTTGCTAATGTACAGTATGTGGAAAAGAATGTGTTTTTTTAACCTTAAACCACATAAACACATCATTACACCAAATACACAAAATAATGTTCATTTTAGCAGCATCATATGACCCCTTTAATATATAGTTTTACAGACATTTGCTCCAACCACAAATACCATCAAAATGACGGTTACAACCCTAATTTGCGTCATCTGCCAAAGACGATTAAATTTAAGTGACATAAGACAATGACTGACATTTTCAGGAGTAGTGATATGTTAGCTTATTGTATTTACAACACACAGATTACAACTGCGTTCACGTGCTACTGAAACAAGTGCACTCGTGTGCAATTTTTACCTAGGATAATTGTATTTACTTTAATTTCTATAGCACATGAATGCATCAATTAATCAATAAGTCCGCATGTGACCATGGCTAAATGTAAGAAGAATATAGTAAACCTTAATGATTTACACCATAATGTGTATATTCTCACTTACCAACTCTGCTGGCTTTTTCCCCGGTTCAATGCAAGTCTGTATCACTGTTTCTGAAGTCTGTGCAAGACTGCCCAGCGTCCGCCCACTTTTTCGACAGACATATGGTTCCGGGAGTATTTTCATTCACTTTTCCTCATTGGAGATTTGTTGCTTAAAGCGTTATAAGCCATGAATCATAACAACCAGCTACAATGTGAATCACAACATGTACAATATTCGATCTGAAATAAAAATATTTGAAAATTTGTCAAAAAGACAGAAGTACGAGACTATGTGTGTTACAGCCAACTGGGTAAATAAAACTACAATCCCATGAAGTACTGCAAATGACAATCGCGCCTTTTGGCCAACTTTGCTCTGATAGGCCAATTTTACACTTCCGGGTTTTTGAAATCCTGGGTAAAAGTTTTTCCGGTAAACAAAAAAACAAAACAAAAAAACAATACATTCAATTTTCTACCTATTAGATTGTGTTTTATTAAATTCTACACCTACTCCAACCCTAAACCTACCCCTTAAAGTAATTATTGTACAGTGTGACAAAAATTACGCTAAATTGATGTGTGCATGCCCAGTAGTTTCAGCTGTATCCCTTCTAGCCTTAACCCTGCTAAGCTGTTCGGGACTCAAAGACATTGTAAGGATTAAATATCATGAAAATGTTTAAACTGTCTTGGTGGTTTATTGGTGAGACTACAAAGTTTAAATGAATCGCTAAATTTAAGACCTAATTTGAAGTTACGGCACTTAAATCGGTTTGGTGTGGTTGTACATTTTATATGCAATACATACAATAATACAACAAAGTACAAACAAGACAGCAAAATACAGAGGAAGGGATCACAGACATTATACATGGAATATATAACTGAAAAGAGAGGTATATATAAAAGGGGGGGGGGGTCATTCATCTTACCTCTATCCTTCCATGCTAGATTTTTTATTCCAAAGGATAACATGTTCCGCATCTACACCTAGATATCTAAGAAAGGGGTCCCAGATCCTATGAAACTTAAAGGGTTTATCTCTTAGCGCTGTGGAGTAGGCTTCGTTAGGGATGAGTCCCTTAGTGATACTTATCCACTGGGCCACCGAAGGGGTTATGGCCGTTATCCATTGCAACAAAATACACTTACGGGCACTATGTAGCAATATTTGTAAGAGCTGAGTACCTTTAAAACGTCTCAGGTTACGGATGTAACCATGGTTCCTCGAGGGAACGAGACACTGCGTTAGAAAATGCTTCGGGAACGCCTTCTGTGACCACGCTCTGAATCACATGTGAAATCAATCCAATAGCTGGGCGAGACGTCACGGGCGGGTGACGTCGTGACCAGGAAGCTATAAAAGCACATGCGGCGGAGCCGGTGTCAGCTTCAGGAATGAAGCAAGCGCTGGCAGGGATGCCGGAAGTATGGCCCCGAGATGCAGCGTCTTGTTCCCTCGAGGAACCATGGTTACATACGTAACCTGAGACGTTCCTCTTCAGGAACTCGAGGTGCGTCGGAAAACGCTTCGGGAACGAGAATGCCCACGCCGTCAGACTTTCAAATCTCTGCCTAGTGTGGAAGCCTGCACAGCTAGGGCTTGAGAACAGAAGAGCCAGGAGTGGCTCGCATGTCTAGACCGTAGAATCTGACAAAGGTAATGGGCGTTGACCAACCCGCAGCGTTGCAGATGTTTTGCATCGAAACAACTGCTAAAAAGGTCTTAGAGGCCGCCACACTTCGAGTGGAGTGACGCAATGTGGGCAGCCGGCCCCCTCGAGAGCCGACTCTGCGTGCCTCGCTCCCAAACAAACCACGCACAGGCACAACAGGCACAACCTATAACGTGGCTTGCTCTCGCCCTTACAGCGTTGCAGATGTCCTGCATAGAAACACCTGCTAAAAAAGCCTTAGAGGCCGCCACACTTTGAGTGGAGTGAGTCTTCACCCCTAATGGCGAGGGGAGATCAGAGGACTCATAAGAGATGGAGATGGCATCCACTATCCACCGACTGAGGATCTGTTTTGTAGCTGGAAGACCTCTCTTAGGGGGACCGTAGCAAACAAGCAGCTGGTCCGCCCTCCTCCACAGGGCAGTTCTGTGGATGTATGCGTCCAGTGCTCGCAGAAATCGATCAGAAATCTCCTCGACTGGCTCGAACGGAGGCTTACAGAGAGCTTCTAGCACCACTGCCAGGTCCCACGTGGGGACGCGAGATCG